GTAAATTATCTATTTTGTCATAGTTAAAGTTCTCTTTACGTGACTTTAGAAAAAAATAGGCAAAACAAGAGGAAAATTTTAAAAGACAAGCTTTTAAAACATTAAAAATAATAAAGACACCAAATCATACTTGGCAAAAACCAATCTTTTAAGACTTTTATATTTTCTAAAACCTTAAAAGATTGGAGAAATTACAAATATGTCACTTTTTATATGCACATTTGCAAAAATACCACTTAGGGGTGTTCATTTGCAAAATTGCCACTAATTATAGATTTTTAAACCCTATATCTTAAAATTCTAAACACTAAAAAATGTTTTGACCCCTAAACCCCCTAAACCCTCATAACTAAACCCTAATAGAACATAATTAACCCAAACATAAATAATATAAAGAAAAAATAATTTTGAAAAAGTGGCATTTTTGTAAAAATTTTAAAAATGTAATATTTTTGTAAAGTGACACTTGAAAAGTGGCATTTTTTGAAATTTCTTTAAAAGATTCCTACCAAACAGCCCTCATATTTTTATCATATTATATGGCAGTAGGAAATCTTTGCAAAATCATACCATTATCATCAATTATTTAAGAATTTAAAAGTGAATTAAGCATACACACATTCTACTATATAATTTTAAAAAGATGTTTCCAAATACTTTATCCTCATTCAAATTACTAATCTCGTTTTAAATTAATATTTTATCAAATTCGTTTTTCCTTTAAAAACTATTCTAAAATTTTAAATATAGTATATCATAAAATTAGGTGGCTGGTCTAGATCTTGAGTGGGCATAGGAATTTTATTAATAGTGTATAACTAGAAATTTACCTGGGCTACGTCCGGGTATGTTGTTTATAGTTTTGTTTGCTATTTTAGTATGAAAAATGGTATCATTGAAAGTTTTGCGATTTTGTGGATCCAACAAACTTTTATATGTTTATCAAATATAAAATAGATAAAATGATAAATTAATTTCTTTCACTTTAAGAGTTTGTGTTGTTTAAAATTCCATATAAAATACATATTTACTTAATAAGTACATATTTTAGTTGTTGACGGCATATATTTTTAGTTATTCTTTATCTCATTCGTGACCAATAAATTTAAAATTAATTCAGTTTAATTTTTGCCTATGTTTATGCATGTTTCTTTTTCTCCAAAAACTTTTGATTCATCGATTATTTAGAATTTCATAATACCAAAATGTTATCTCTTTAGTTCAAACACAAAATCTTTGAAAACTAATTGTTTTTATTTATTTTTATTAATTTATGTTGCTCCTTTTATTGTATGATTTGTATTTTTCTTCGTGCTACTTTTTTATTAAAAGGTCTTTCGGTTGTTTCAATTCCCCATCATCGCCAAAAGCTTTTTCTAAAGTACAAACACAAAAACTCTTTAGAGATCAAAACCAGCTAATAGAAAGATTATAGCACAAGCAAAAGAAGATATCACCTAAATGACCAATATAGAGTATTAAATTTACAATTAAAAATATATGATGATTATAAAAAGAAACAGAATGGGGAAATTCACGTACGTAAGTAGAATGAGCTTCTTATTTCCTTAAACAATGTCAATTCCAGCAATGTTAACCAAGAGAATTTGAGTTGCTTCCCTAATTTCACTAACTGATTACAGTTTTCTACTTTATTGAATGGCATTATGATGGGAGGCTTGCTTGTTATATCCTAATTAACAATCACTCGAGAAACCTTCTCCACTGTCTGTATCAGTACCCACCTGCAAATGTAACCAGATTATCAAAATACATTCCACACTCTTATCAACATTTCTTTTAGTTAATGCAATACTAACTCATCTCTTAGATCTTCATAGACATTGTTTATTTATAGCGAACTATCAAAATTGTTAATCCAAAACCAGAATACTTTTTCTTCTCTTGAAATTTGGGAGTCATCGGCTAGATTTTCCAGAAAAGATATCTGCTTTGTTTGATGTTTGAGTTGAAAAGTCGTTCCTCCAAAGAAACATAGGTCTACTGTTAAATTTCACAGAGAGGTTGATATACTAAAATGATGTTCCNTTGGACATGGAAATATATTTTTCACATTTACGTGTTTCTTTCATCTCTCCTGGAAAATATGTGATACAACATAAATGTTAAGATCCGGGGAACNNTCAACAATATCCTTTGCGGTAAAGTACCTCATGCATCCNGGCCCATTCTGTCTNCNTGCTCGAGAACATGTTTGGCTCTCTTAAATGGGTGTTTGGCTNCTAAATTTGATGGATTGTTGTGCTCTAGTACCAATACATTTAATAGATTGGTGTAAGCTTCCGCATCCTGTAGCAAAAACCTCATCATCATAAGCTATATGCATCTTACTACTATAAAACATTCAAACCAACTATTTGAAGACACTACAAGAAAACATGTCATTTGTGACACTTTAATTCGTCACAAAATGGTCACAAATGACCCATTTGCGATTACTTAGTGACTAAAATGGGTAGTCGTTAAACGATCGTCGCTAATTTAATCAGTCACAAATTAGTCGCAAATTATCGACTACTTGGTGACAACAATTTAGTAGTAGCAAAAAAGCGACTATTTTGGGGCTATATACTCGTGGTCGCAATAAAGCGACTATATAGTGACAACACAACTGTGGTCGCAAATTAGCGACGACATTGTGACAATATCTATGTTGTCGCAAATTAGCGACTATTTAAGACGATATGTTACTGTCGCAAAGTAGCGACGACGTTGTTACTACAAATGGTAGTGGGAAAATAACGACTAAGTCGTGACAAGTTGGGCAGTCGTGAAATTGATACTAATTTGTGACGACTTTTGTAGTTGTAAATAAGCGACATATTAGAGACTATCAAAGTAGTGACTAAAGGTCATGGTTAGTCACAAAATAGTCACGAAAGTGTCACTTATTAGCCACTAATTTGCGACGCGTTTGTTTTTTGGTCACTTTATAGTCAATGTTCAGTTGCGAAGTTGGTCATTTTTTTGTCCCTAAAAACATAGACATTTGTGTTTTGATTTGAGAAACATAAATCAAAAGAAGAACTTAAAGTCTTGAAACTACAAAAGATTAGCTTGACAAGAAGTCTTAAAATTAAAGAAGAACATAAGTTTTCAAGCATTTAGCTTGACAAGAGAATAAAGTTGGGAGAGTAGAAAAGATTATAACATAATAAGTTTCTTAAAAACACAAAGTTAGAAAGTTTGAGAAGCAAACTTTCAAGGGTTATCTTCAACTTGAGGTGTGGTTGTGGCTGGTACAGAGGAGTCAGACACGTAAGCAGCGAAGTTGGAATTGTTGTTCTTCATAAACACAAAGAGCTTCTCCAATTCATCAATCCGAACCTGACTTTGTCTTAGCTCCTCATCACGTCGCTGATTTTCCGCGTCACGACGTCGATTCTCCTCATCACTGCGCTGATTTTCTTCATCGTATTCAGCAATCTTTTGACGAGCTGCTTTAAGCTCGTGCTGGATCTCTAACAGCGATGACGTAGAAGATTCACCATAGCTTCTCTTCCTCTTTCCTTTGTGAACCTGTGAGAGTTGGCCCATTCCATAAGGATTCCCCTTGGAATCGATTTCAGTACACTGCAACAGTCATAGAGAATTCATTGTTACAAGCTGAAATCCAAGTAATAACAAGTGATGATTAACCATAGACCTAAATCCAATATGATTCATACTACCAAAACAGTATATCTATCATTAACAAACAAACTAATTCCGAATGAATCATAAATCACAATTGTATACACTGATCCAAATGGTACTCACAATAATCCTCAAAGATGATAACACATACACAACAGACAGAGTGAGCAAGGTTAATTAACCGAAACATAAAGCATGAGAAAAAATTAAGTTACCTTAAGGAAGATTTCATTCTTCTCATCGATGCTGAGAGTCCGCTGTGTAGAATGCTCAGAGGCGTCTGAAGCCTCTGGTCCACCTTCAGGCTGATCCAAAACCTCTTGCAGGGTCCTATCATAAGTCTCAGCGACTTGCTTAGCTTTTTCATCAACAAAACTCCCATTAGCCTTTGTATGAGTCTTCCTAAACACTTCATCAAAAGAGATAAAACGTCCTAATTCCTCCTCCTGTAAGAATGGATAAGAAAGATTAGGTAGATGAAGTATATCTGACAGAAAGAAATGATAAACGTATTACCATTTGTTGGTGAACGGTCAAGAAAGAAGATTGGCCTGAAACGTGCTTGTAGATTCCAAGT